TTTTCAGAGCTGTTGCGTTCCTCGAGAGTCTTGAGATGTCCTTAGAAACAGAAGCCATGTGGAAAACGCTGAGCCGCCTCGCTCTGGAGGCGAGGCAGCTGCACATTGCCGAGCGATGTTTTGCTGCTCTGGGTGATGTTTCCAAAGCCAAGGCATTGCGGCAGATAAACAAGACCGCTGAACAATGTGCAGAAGAAATGGTTGGCATCACTTTTTTCCTTTTCCCTTTTTTTTCTTTACAAAGAACGAAGATTCCAGTCGAAGTCTAAAAAGGCTTTATTTCATGTTTTCGTGTTTTAAGTTACTTTGTCATTTTCCAGATGGAATCTGCTAATGTTGGCCATCTATTTTGCTAGGAGCAGTTGAGACTTAAAGGCTTTTCGACTTAAGCTGGGATTTGTATTGCCTCCTTTAAAATTGGTTCGTGAATACTTAAGACTCTAGAATGAACGCGCTAAATTCAATGGAAGACACTTGACCTAGAGAGAAAATCTTCAGCAAATTGCATGTACTTTAGACTGAAATAGCCACAAAAACCAGTTCAGAGTGGTTTTGGGCTGGTAAGATTATGTAGGCTTAAACGTTTTGATATTTTTTAGGGTGGTGATGGTACAAACCATGTTCGTGTCCGAGCAAAGCTGGCAGTTTTAGACAAAAACTTCAAGCTGGCTGAGACCATTCTTCTAGAGCAGGGATACGTGGATGAAGCCATTGAGATGTATCAGGAGCTGCATAAGTGGGACGAGGCTATAGCTGTGGGGCAGGCTAAGGTATGCGAGACGGCTATTGGAGTAACTTACTAATTGACTGGCTGACTGACTGACTGAAAAGCTATGATCGCCAGGTCCTCATATTTAGTTCATTATTTATCGTTAACCTCAGGGTCACCCAGAGCTGGAAAATTTGCGCACAGCTCATTACCAATGGCTCTCGGAGACGGCTCAGGAGGAGAAGGCTGGGGAGGTAAGATTAAGTCACTAACTAACAAGGAAGTGATGAAAAAAAAAATTAGATATAGCATGGGCATGCGGCACCGCAACATTCAATCAAGCTGTTATCAATTTCTTAAATTTTAACCACTATTGACCTGAGTTTGTTGGTTTGGTTCTCTGTTCAGGTGAAAGAGAGAGAAGGAAATTACATGGAGGCCATTAACTTGTATCTCAAAGCTGGTTTGCCTGCCAAGGCTGCAAGGCTGGCTTTGAGTAAAGAGGTGAGGGTTTTTTGTCGTTACTTTTTGAGGTTAAGTTAGAATTTATCTGTAAAGAGGTGTGGAAAGGATTTTGAGTTCAATAGCATTGGGTTTGTAAGAATTTACAGGAAGAACTTAGTAAAGAGTATTCTTTTCGTTAACTTTGTGAACGTGAATGTTGTTTTTGGTTATTAGGAGCTAATTCACTCATCGGAGTTACCGGAGAGAATTGCGGCAGCTCTTCTTAAAGGCGGATTGTACGAGCAGGTTAGTGTCTGAAATTCTTACATAATCAGTTAAACCTCGAACAAGAATGCCTTTCGATTGAGTGTCGTTAAAACCAAAAGCAAAGTAATCACAACAGCCAATCAGAGGAGAGGAAAATGTCACAACGGCCCAATGAGAATTGAGAATAAGCAGATTGCTCAAAGCGCGAAAAAGCGCGTGTCGCGAACTCGCTATCGGTGCATGTTCTGAAATGATGGCGCGGTTTTCAAATGAAATTGCCAAAACACCAGAACCAAACCAATTATAAGGCTCATTCAAAACAAGGTAGAGCAATTTTTCACTGAGTGTAGAAAGTAGACCGGGGCTACTTTGCTTATTATCTACTGCGCTCTGTGATTGATCTAGAAAACTCGCGCCAATCCCTAAACCAAATAGATGCAAAACTAAAACCAACTGCGACTTGGTTCCTTGCATTTTCACGCTCCTCTAGCAGTTTGCTTGATTTTAATTCGAGTTCTTGTTGGCTTATTGTGATATTTTCCTTTTTCGGCGAAGTTATACTTGCTGTAGTGATGGGTTTATTACAATCAAACGAAAAAATGCACCCCACACAACACAACCACCCAACGAGATCTTTAAAGTAACATATGACATCAACCAGGTAAGGGAAAACGTGCGTAATGAATTGTATTAAATGTTTTTCCCTCATGATATAGGCTGGAGAACTTTACGAGAAAGTTGGCAAAAACGACAAGGCGATGGATTCCTATCGCAAAGGACATGCATATAGGAGGGGTAAGATATGCAAGTTGCTCTTTATTTGTTCTTCCTATTTCACTATGGAAATATTTAGTACTAATTTGCCATACCTTTTATCCTTCCCCTTTCGCTGTTCAGCCGTTGAACTGTCCCGAGCGGCTTTCCCGAGAGAGGTTGTGAAACTAGAGGAGGCCTGGGGTGATTATCTGGTTTCCCAGAAGCAATTGGATGCCGCTATTAATCACTACATCGAGGCTGGGTGAGTAGATCGACATTTTGTCCCACCCTTCCCCAGTCTGTCTTGTAGCCATTCTTTGGAATGTCACGCAACGCTTTTGGGAGATGGGGATTGTTGATTAGTTTTGAGATTGGCGCGAATATTTAAACCAGTCACAGGGCGAAGAAAAGCCAAAAAAGCTCAGTCCCGGATTATTTTAGACACTCGATTGAAATTTTTTTGAATGAATTTGATTATTCTCCTTGTCAGGTGTTCAATTAAGGCGATCGAGGCGGCTATACAAGCTCGTCAGTGGAACAAAGCTGTTCAGATTGTGGAATTACAAGACGATAATGTGGCAGAAAGGTGAGTTTACTTTTTTATGCCAACAGGAGTTTTCCGCTGTCTGGCAAAAAGGGGTACATGGTTACATTTAAAGATTCACAACTGTTATTAACCATGATTTTCCTTCATACTCCAGGTACTACCATCAGATTGCTCAACACTATTCTCAAGTTCAAGAATACAAGGTATTTTACGAGTACTTTGCGGTAATTTATCAACTTGTTTGTCTGCAAGACTCCATACTCAAAGATTGTTTTTGTTTTGTTTTGTTTTCAGCTTGCGGAGAAATACTTTGTCAAGGGAGGGGACCCACGGGCTGCTATTGAGATGTATACCAAAGCTAATATGTATGAAGCTGCTCACAAGGTAAGGTTTCTTAAATGAAACAAAAGAGAAGAAGTTGTTATGATACGAAGAATTTAAGAGTAAACAGAGTTAAAAAAAGAAATAACAATATCCCTAAGCTAGGAACGTGGGAAGTCGTGTTGCATGAGTTCTGCAAAGAGCGCATTTTGAGTCGTCGGTGGCGTTAAACCAAAACTAGCAAAGGTACAACGGCCGATCATGTCTCAGGAATATACCTCACGGAGCCAGGGAAAACTCAAAGTAAAAACAACAGTGCTGCCTGAAGCGCGGGAAAACGACGGTAACCAAGTCGCGATTGACCCTAATCTTGCATCTGATTGGTTAAGAGAGTGGCACGATTTGTCTTGATCAATCACAGAAAAATAAAGGAAAAGTTATGAGATTCAAGATTATTGTCCACATTCAACTGATATTTGCCCTTATTCCTAAGGATCTTTTTTTTCATGTTTCCACAGCTTGCAGTTCAGTGCATGACACAAGAAGAAGTCGCTGTCATCTACATATCGCAAGCTCAAGAACTTGAAGCTCAAGGGAAATACAAAGAAGCAGAGAGGTGATTTTAGCCACTTTGATGCTTTGAATTGTAAATTAGCAGCGCTTTTTTTCTTTTTTCCTTTTTGCAGTCTCATAGTTTGCTTTAAAACATTTTCTAGGTTATACTGCACAGTTGATGAACCAGACTTGGCCATTAATATGTATAAGAAACATCGTCAGGTAAGTTTATGAAGACTTCTTTCAGTCTTAAGACCGAGAATTTCACATCCCGTCACATCACAGAGGTGCATATGAGACTTTTGTCTGTTTAGCTCCACGTTATTCGGTAGATAGACAGGTGCTAATGAATGATTCTTTACGTTTGTAGTTTGACAACATGATCAGACTAGTGGCTATCCACCATGAGGATCTTCTCGCCGACACCCACGTTCACCTGGCAAAGGTATAGTTTGGTTAGCATGTGAACAGTCTCCAGGTTGAAGAGCCGAGAGGGGAACTGGCCTCAAGTGAACTAAATCGGCCGGCGGGGTGGGGGTGGGGTTAGGGGAACGGTTCGTTCTTTTGTCTCTGTTAGACCAGTCTTTAAATGTTGGAGACGTGGGGACTCACTGGCTCCTCTTACTCTTTTAAATTGGTGGCAACGCCTTTAATAAGCGGGAATTTATAGATTTTGACGTAAACGGCCCAGAGGATAGTTGCTTCAAATATAGACGAGTTAATTTGCCAGAACAGAAGAGTACCACAAAAATCTGAGCAAAGCGCCGTTAATGATGGTTCCTTCACTCCTATTTCTCAAGTATTTAGTAAAGGATGTTCTTAAACTTTTAACCTACTTCTATTGCAGCCCATGAACACTTTATTCTCTTTTTACAGGAACTGGAGGCCGAAGGTCAACTCCGCCAAGCTGAGCATCATTTCTTAGAAGCGAGGGACTGGAAAGCAGCCGTGAACATGTACAGGAACCAAGACATGTGGGAGGAGGCTTACAGGGTGAGTTATGGAGGGGGGAGGGGTTGGGGAGATATTTTCAGGCGTGGGCACAAGACAGGTTTTGTGAGGGCCCTGCATGGGTTAGGTAGTCTCAATATGGGGACAAGGACTAGAGAAGATAAATGATAACTTGAGTCTGCAACATAAGGGAGCAGTGTGAGACTCAATGGACACTTTTTACTGTAGGTTGCCAAGCAACACGGAAGTCAAAATGCCTCTAAACAAGTGGCTTACTTGTGGGCCAAGAACTTAGGTAAGTTTGTGAAAGTTAGTTGTTTTTTTTTTTGAGAGTATCATCGGTTCTGTTTTATCAGAGAATCTTCGCAACGAAAATTATGGTAGATTTTCCAACATAGAAGATTGCTTTATGATAAAATGAAACCTTAAAAATTGTAGTTTACCAAAAATGAGCAAAGATGGCTGAAGATGGGAAAGATGAACCTGTAGTGTAAATTATGAACTTTAGAAATTTAGGTCGATGTTTCTAAAATATACGTGCTTTGTTGAAACTCCTCAACCATTTCATTCTAAGATGTAAAAAGAATTCTCCTCCGTCTCTGTTCGCTATGTCTTGTGCATTTCTCTTAATTTTATCTCTGAGAATTTTGAATTAAATCAAAGAATATCCACCGTAGTTGATGGTTTTCTTTCCTCTTATGGTCTTTCTGCTCGGAAATGTGTCGATCTTGTTGACTCGAGAGAAATTCCTTTTTTGTCATCACTGCGAGTGAGAAGGAGATGAACTTCCTTCTATCGTTTGACAAACTTTGAGTTGCCTCGCACTGATGTCGATCAGCACTGATTAATCGCTCTTTCAATCCTGATCTCTCTTAGGAGGGGACTCCGCTGTCAAGTTACTGACTAAGTTTGGTCTGCTGGAATCAGCGATAGACTACGCTGCAGAAAACTGGTAAGATTCAATTCAATACTGCAAGTGTCTTCACTCGTCTCATCTGACTTACATAGTTAGTTTTAGTTTCTAAAGTCGAGTTGAAATGCATGATATGCGTGAACTATTGAACACCACAACGTAACGAAGAGAATGGTTCGAGTCGATTCTTGTGAACTTAGACAGTGCGAAGTATTTTGAGTCCAGATAGGGAAATGTGTATCTTTAAACTGATTGCAATTCAGTATTAAGGAACTGGGATCAATATCAGTATCTGGGCAACTGCCCACCTACCCCTCCCCTAACCCAACATTAACCCTAACTTGTTATCAATAGACTGTTGTTAATATTCCTTGATCCAGGAACTGTTTGGTTGAAGTTTCTTTTTTTTATGTAATACACTTTATGCCGTAAAGTGTTCAAATAGTCTTACATTGTTTGTTTTCAGTGCTTTTGAATTCGCGTTTGACTTGTCTCGAACGGCGATGAAGTCCAAGTTGCCAGACATTCACCTAAAGTATGCCATGTTCTTGGAGGACGAGGGAAAGTTTGCTGATGCTGAAAAAGAATTCATTAAAGCTGGGAAATCAAAGGAAGCTGTACTTATGTAAGTCGCAATATTTTTATCGAAATAAGGAATTAAGAACTGAAATTTATGGGCCGTATAATAGGACACATTAGAAGATAAAGTTTTAGTTTAGCTAAGAATGTTACTTGTAAATTATGTTGTACGGTGATTGTGTAAAAGAAAAAAAAGGACTCGCGCCAAAACCAACATCGACTTTGACACTGGCGTTTTCCCGCGCTTGGACCGGTCACCTGTATTTTTCTTTGCATTTTCATTGGTTCACCATGTCTGTTACGCTTGTTCTGATTGGCTGTAATTTTTGTCACAAAAAAAAATCCCAGCCAATTTTTGTTGTAGTTGGTGAAAAGAAATCGTGCCGAAGTCTCTCAAGTGTAATTTTTCGAGAGAGTTTATGAGAGAACGTTGCACGCCTTTTCAAATAAGACGTTCTCTCTTAGAAGTTAAAGAGATGTGTCCTATTCAATCGTGTTTCAGGTATGTTCACAACCAGGATTGGGACAGTGCTCAGAGAGTGGCGGAGGAGAATGATCCTGACAGTGTAACTGATGTATTAGTAGGCCAGGTAAGATTTTTTCATCCAGGCTTAGTCAAGTGGCAGAAATGTGCTTCGTGCACTGCCATTTGAATCTTGCCCAACGAGGCTGCTAAACCTGTAATGTAACCGAATCTTACCCCTCTTTTTCCATTGTTTGGTGACTGTTCGAACAGTTAGGAGCTGCACAAAGAGACAATGTTGGGACAAAGAATTCTTTTCTTTTTTAACTTTTGAAGAAGCAAAGCAGCAGTTTATGGAGTGTGCATTGTCGCTTCCACCATTTGGCTTAAACTCTGTGACGTCATACGTGTGAGGCCAGGTTACTGAGTTGTATGGTTTGTGGAGTATACCTCTCCATTAAGCCCCCGTTTATTCATAGTTTATAGAGTCGAAGCTAAAGGAATGATCAGCAAAACTCTGAGATTTATTTTTCATTAAAGGGGTTTTAACCTATTAATTTTGCTTTTATTACAGGCCCGTGTTGCATTCGACAAAAAAGAATATCAAAAAGCTGAGACGTACCTTCTCCGAGCTCAAAGACCCGAACTTGCGGCTCGTTATTACAAAGTAAGTTTGCAGGAACAGTTAGTTGATACACAATATTTAAAAGAAATATTGCTAGCCATTATTCTTAGGTGTTCATCCTAATGAACAAATACATATGTAGCCTGATAGTCTTTATCGTTTGTTTGACTCCAGGAGGCTGGTATGTGGACAGATGCTTTGCGCGTGGTGAAGGAATACTTGCCTCACAAGGTATGCACATACTGAATTCAAGGCTGTATTCTCTGACAAAACTAAGCACAGTGAGATACATAATCATTGTACGCTGATTTTCTTTGCCAACAGCTGGAGCAATGGCAGGACGAGTACGATAGAGAAGTCATGTCCAAAGGAAACAGGTATTCCCCTATAACGTTAAGACCTGTAGCAGCACCTCACCAAAAAGGTGCTCAGTTCCACATGATAAGAATGGAACTACAACTAGAAATAAAAAACAGATCAGTGTCAGTATCTAAGCAACTGCGCACCTACCCCTCCCCTAGCCCAAGATTTATCGTAACTCGTTACCAGTTGACTAATACTGACATTGAAAGACTAAAGAATATTACTACAGCAGAAATACTCACCATAAACATACCAGTGTTCGCCCATAAACGTAACCGTTTGAAATTCCTCATACTGTTTAACAATAAGAGTCAATAGTGATCACTGAGGGATACACGCCACTAAGGCTTTTAATCACGAACTAAGATTTGAATCCTTCCTAATTACTGTGGGTTTTGTTTTACAATTAATTTTAAGACTCTCAGGATGGCAGTAATTTCATCGAATTTAACTGTCTGGTTGATGTTGCTTTTTTCAGAGGTGCAGAGTCGTTGCTGAGTCAAGGAAAAGAATGGGAAAAGAAAGCTGAATACAACAGAGCTATTGACATGTACTTGAAGATTACACCAAATATGACCACTGATCATGAACTGGTGGAAGACGCTATGGTCAAGGTAAGAGGCGCGTGACATGGAGTGTTGCCTAGCAGCGCGTAGACCTATCTATTACAGGTGGTTTATGCAGATCATCGCGCAGAATGCCATTGTTCTCGCAACATTTACTTACAGTCGCGAAAAAAATATAGATCTGTAATATTAGCAGCGAAGCGTAATCTGGAGAGCTTTGATTGGTCATTGATTACACAGGCTTTCCTCCTCAGGAAATATCGCTTTAGCTCATTGACTGTTTTGATGGAGCTAAGAAACACTAGCTTAGAAAGTTATTGTTTATGCTATTGGTAGAAAAAATCACATATCTCTTCTTCAAAATCCATATGGTGAAAGTGGTTCATACAAAGTGTTTTTATTGAAAGTAAGAAAAACATGCACCCCTCTGGTGATTTTTCAAGCCATTTTCTCTATTGTGTGGCGCGCGTTTCGCTAATTCAGTTTCAAATTTACCGCTGGTCAGTCATAAAAAAGTCCCGGATTTGTCGCGGCATTCTGCGCGATGTATCAATCCATTGTGGAGTTGTTCAGAAATGAAGATACAAGCGATAGAGCAGTTTTCAATCGAGTGTGCAAAGCAATCTGGGATTGCAAAGGTTTTCTGCACCGAGCCATATGATTGGTGTAGAAAATCTGCGCTCTGTCAATCAATCAAATCAGCGCGAAGCTTACACTAATAGCGACTTGATTACTCGCGTTTTCCCGCGCTTTCAATCATTTCTGTGTATAGATTTTGATTTCTCTTTCTCATCCTAGAGCTTCGGTGAACAAAATGCTAGAAAACTGGGTGTATAGTTTACTACTGCTGGAGTAAAGAATAACATTCGTATTTTATAGTTGACACAACCCGCAAAGGAAAGTTACCATTAAGTATTTTTTCAGTGTTTTTTAATTTTTTTTTTTTATATTTCAGGCCGTTGAACTTGCTATGAAATTCGTAGGTGACCGTGCCTATGATGTGGCAAAAGCTGCTTGCCCCAGGCTGGCAGAGATAAAGTGCTATGAACAGGTTTGTTCAGGA